GTCGCAGTCAACAAAATTATTGAAACTGATAAAATTAATATTGCATAACCATCGAGAGAAAAAAAGAATTACAGTAAAAACTCATATTACCTCTAGTCGGATTTATGTACATAGCCTTTCATTTTTTGCGTAAAATTGAATAGTTGTGTATGTATTTCTTTCGTGGTTTGTACAAGCGGAATTTACTTTGTTTAATGAGATTAAAAAGTTAACGCAGCCAAATCACGGTACTGCCTATTTTCGCTCAAATTCTTCTCTTTATTAATAAACCGTGTTTATTTACAATTGTATTTTTAAACGGATACATACATATTTACATATATGTATATGTACATATTATTATAAAATTGCATAAATACAAATGTTTTTTATGTTTCAAATGTTTCCATTATTTTATAATTCTAATATTTACATTAGCTTAGTTTGAGGTTGTAAAAATGCAAACCAATGTTTGAATCTGACCTTTCCGATACATTTCTCTAATAATTACATTGCAAGTTCATCACTGGCCAAATAAACTAAACTGAAAAGCATGACCACAACACATGATAATATTAGTACAAATAATAATGATAATAGTACAACTAATTTCTGCAAGTTCATCACTGGTCAAATAAACTAAACAAAATAATAATGATAATAGTACAACTAATTTCATAAATTGCTTAACTTATGTATGTATATAATTATTACAATATATACATATTTCGTCGATTGTGTCTTGATCTGAAAAAGAGTGTATAACATATGATTCGCGACAGGTGAAGAAACTAGAGTAAACAGTAAACATTCATTTATCACTACAATGGGAGATTCTCTATTTAAAACCTTTTTCACATATTTAATACATAAAGTATATTTTTCACAATCCTCTCTTCTAGAACAAATCATTTAGATTCACGGAAATTTTAATGACAAGGATTCGTTATGTACTTTATTCCCCGCATTTCTAAGAGTGCGTGTTATACATGCATTGTAGTTATAACACATTTGTACTAATAATATATTGATTCCCCATCCTAGCCTTGAACGACATGGTTTCTCCGCAGCGACCTGACGTCAATATTTTAGTTACATTCGACTCGCGTCTTAAAACACAAAATCGGAGATTGAAAGAAATCCACATATTTAACCCCATCATAAAAATGTATCCCTTCTCGATATTACTTTTCCTAGCTTTAGGAATGATAACCATAATGGCGCTAGATAAGTTTGACCTTGATATCATAGTGGACAAAGGGGAAAAGGATATTTGGGAATATAGAATACAAAATTTCCTACCACTTTCGTACCGACAAAGTATTAAAACTATACGAAATTTTAATCATCCCATAAAAAATACTTCCTTCCTGAAAACGATCCGCTCGTCCAGAAATTTTACTTACTTCAGATCCATTATTAATATTATTCTCAAACGTCAACGTCAAATTAAACACGGAATACATAATGGCTTTTCCCTCTCGCTCATTTCGCTTTCAGAAAATTGCATTTGTTATTGAGTTGTCCAAAATAATATTTTTCGTAAAAGATGATATTTTCGTTCCGTGCTTTCCCTGTGGTAATGGAACGTTAATCAACAAATTTTCGTTCGACTTGGTCAACTCAATTTGGATCCAATATCATACAAACATGCAGGGAAATGTTTTGCTTACCCTAAACTCTATGGAGGATGATATGGTTTACGACAAGCCACCTTCTTGCGGCATTGGCCTAAGTAACTTCCCCGCTTCGGAGTCTGCACCATACTGTGTGAGTTATACGATCGGAATGCGCATCAATATGACCGCATTGCCCCACAGTTTTATACATTCTAGACGTAGACCCATAACGGTTATTGGTTTCAGATCCGTTTTAACGGATTATGATTGGGACTTATTTCACAGAAACAGAGATAAAATGTTTTTCACCCAATTAACGTTTGAAAAGTACGAATTTTCAATAGTCACGCAATTTCCTAGAGCCGAAAGTAGTTTTGGGAATGTTTTTACCCCTTTTGATATCTGGACGTGGACCTTAGGATTAGTCTCAACTTTTTGTATTGTAACAACTCTTCTAATTCAATTTTACCGGGATATGCGCAATCTCCCTAAAAACAAGGCAGAGTATAGTGTCATATTCATTCGTGATTTTATAACATTTACATCCATTTTGCTCAGTCAGTATGGTAGCGATGTAGCGAATTGGTTACAAAAGCACAGGAAAGCTGTTCCCCTGCTTACCGTGTGGTTTTTTGGATGTAACGTCCTCATGTAAAATTTGTACCAGGGATCAATCACGTCAGATCTGACGGTTATACCTGTCCCCGTGGTTTCTAGAAGTTTGCAAGACTTGGTTAAATCCAACCTCACAATAATTACGACCAGCCGAGTTGTTACCGGATCCAACCGGCGTGAATACCTACTTGAAATACTTCTACTACCACTTATTAGAACCACCGATGACGTCAAATTTGCCTCACTTCTGTCAAACGTTTTACAACGGATAGTCTTCATTTCGTCATTGCAATACGATATCATTGATATTACGAAAATAATTTCAAAATCAGAGATTTTCTATCTCAACAATTACGAGATTCAGACAAGAGATATGTTCGCAATTATGGAAAAAACCATTGTCCATGCCAAACTCACTGCGGCACTAAGAACAATTGGAAAGCAGTTTGTCATCGATAGCTTGCAAGATACGCCTTTCCGATATAACACGATAACTTTCGGCAGGCAAAATTATATTGCTCCGGCAATTTATACAGTAATTTCAAGACTAACGGAATCGGGGATTAGTGGGAGATGGGAATTACTCGAAGCTATGTGGGAGCAATTAGATTTCATGCTTAGTGTTGATCAAGGATTGAACAAGAAATTATTTCTAAAGCTTATGTCAAATTTTAGACAGGAAAGTATCCAAATCAATAATTCTCAGCAGAAAGCGTTTCCCGCGCTGTATTATGTCCTAGTTTTATGTGCCACGATTATCGCGGTGGCGGTCGGAACATTGTTGGTTGAGTGCAGGCATGAGATCAAAAGGAGTCTGATAGCAACCGCAAGAGCCATTATGCGGCAACTTCGCAGTTACCTACGCAAGGCACGTAGCACGGTGCAGCGTCTGTTGGAAGGCTGGAAAAGGGGGTGTTTTGGCTAGTGTAGATATGTCAATATTAATGTAATAATAATTTCATTTGAAAATATATGTGCAAAAAGGAAACCAATCGTGATGTTGCCGTAGTCGGTCAGTTTGGCGAAAACACTGTTGGCGAAAAACTTTCGCCAAAAAATAATCCCATTTGGCGAAAAACAAATTTCATGCATTTCACCGTACGTTAGTTTTATTTTATTTAAAGTACATTTTGGCGAAAATAATGTCGCATTTGGCGAAAACGAGGATTTTGTGATTTTGAGCGATTTGACATACATAAATGCGAAATTTAAATTTCGCCAAATGTACTTTTACGAGTTTTCCACTTTCGCCAAATGTGACAATAATTTCGCCATTTAGTACTTTCATGACAATTTTTTACCACATTGGCGAAAAAAAAATTTTCGCCAAACTGGCTTTCGCCAAACTGACCGTCAATCGTTCTTTTGTCTGCATTCGTTGCAAGTATTTCCTTAGATAGTACCGGATCTTATAAGTTAGTAGTGGCGATTGACGAAAAGACTGCACAAAATGCAGTAACTGAATACGTCGAGAATATCAAAGTAATACGTGCATACGCAAACAGCACAATTTTGAGTTCTTCAATTTACAACAGGGTTCGGAAAAACCCAGGGTTTTAATCAAAAAGTAACGACCCAAGTAACGGGTTTTAATGGGTTTTAATGGGTTTTTTGGGTTTTATGGGTTTTATTGGGTTTTATTAGGTTTTACATAAGTAATACATTGAACAACAATTTTCACTACTATTGCAATCCAATTTCAGTTAATATGCAAATCCTCCTTGTCCATGTTAGAATTTGTATCCTTTTCGAAAGGGTCCTATTAAACTGAGCATAGTTTAATACTTTATGAGACCATAATTACATATATTACCTTTTTCTCGAACACTTCCTCTCATCATAATGAAATGCAAGTTGTTTAAAAGTTTTTAAAATTAAATATTTCAATGGGACCTTAACGTGTATTATCAATTCTGGAAAAAAATCGAGTACTTATGAACAACGAAAGTACGTATGTATTATGTTCGAGAATAAGTACTCGATTTTTCCGGAGGTGATAATTAAGATCGCCTTTAAACATTTCAAAAAACTTTATAAATTAAAGAAATACTATAGTGTTTTGTTTAATTTATTCGCTGAGATGAGAGGAAGTATTCGGGAAAAAAGCATTAATTATGACAGCAAAATCTAAATTAAATGTAATTAAATTATGTATGCTCAGTTAAACATACCTCGTTTCGAAATTATTTTTTTATATTTTTTGTCACTTGAAACCTGTAGTGGCACTCGCTGATTTATTCCTGGTTTTCAAAACTTACAGTATTAATCAAATAAACTGCTTAGCTGCCATCAAACAACTTCGTCTAACGTATGACAGCTGTTTTCAGCTTTTAGAATATAGTTTTAAGCTGAAACACAGTTAAAACCCATTAAAACCCGAATAAAACCCATTAAAACCCAAATAAAACCCATTTAACATGGTAAAACTCAATGGGTTTTATTCGTTAACAACCCATTAAAACCCATTAAAACCCAAAAAACCCAACCCAATAAAACCCTGGGTCGGAATACCCTGGAGATAACCAATAACCATGACATTTGTTTGGGCTATGGATCCACCTTGGACTTTGCATCACTGGCAAACAATGTGATTCACGTTAAATATTTACGTGATAAGGGGAACATCCCGCTTGTCTACATATTGATTTACCAGTTGTGGTTACATTTTTGCATAGTTCAGCTTTTATCTGATTACAACTGGATTTTCCGAATCACATTCGTTTCACTCGTGGCAAAAAATATATAAATCACGAGTCAATGCCTTGTCGTAAAAGATGTGATGCAGTATCACTCACGTAGTGAAACGTGCATCATATCTTGTGTATTAAAATGGCGATTAATTGGAAATTTTGGTGGTGCATTTTACTTCCTATTTTACTCTGTCCATTCCTAATTTTTGGAAATGAGGAGTCAAAACCTATGGTAAAATATTGTCGATTTTAATAAACTGTTAGAAATATGGTGTAGTCAGGCAAATATTAATTTCATGGTATTAAAGTTGATACCGCTTAGTATTAAAATTACACTGGTAAAAATTTACTGCTAAATGAAAAAACTTTAATGCCGAGCTATTTCTTGGCAAAAGAAATTTATTAGTGGCATATGAATATTAATACCGCTTGATATCATTTTAATACCGGAGTTTATTAATATTTAATTAAGAATTTTAACCATTTTTTAGCTAAAATGTTCCTACGTGATTCTTCTCATGGCGTTGTTCTGGGTGCTGGAAGCGCTCCCAATTCCTATCACGTCACTTTTACCTGTAGCCCTCTTTCCGCTGCTGGGACTTCAGAGCACTTGTAAAATTATTTAGACAAATTTACCTTTTTAGCATATTTTAAATTCTGTCTCTTTTAGCTCAGGTTGTCGGAAATTACATGAAAGAGTCGGGGATGATGTTTTTAGGAGGGATTTCATTAGCATTGGGGATATCACATTGCGGTCTGCATAAACGCCTCGCCCTCAAAACCCTACTCGTCATAGGGACCAGCCCGTGGAGATTGCTTTTTGGTAAGGACATATGTATGTCAACATGTGCAAGCATTTAGTTGCAATCTCGCAGAAATCATGTGCCATGCGGGTGAACTATTGTGGTTCCATATGTCGTGTAATTAATTACTGATTTATGTATGTTATACATATATATGTACATGCATTCTCATGTTCACTAACTATTTATATGTTAAGCTGTCAGGCAGATTATGTATGTACCGTAAAACCTCTATTTATAGCCCTATTCTAATTATAGCCGGTCTCCAAATATAGCCGGGTCCAGAGACCCGGATTTTAAAATTTTAGATTACAAAGTCTTCTTACAAAGTCTATCGGCGTACTTATAGGATCTATTTTTAATTGCTTAAACTGGAAAATCATTACTCAAATTGTGTTGGCTGCACTTATATTGTTTCAAAATTTGAAATTTGAAATCCAAATTAGAACCAAAGCAAAATTTAGCCGGGTCTCTATTTATAGCCGGTCTCCAATTATAACCGGGTCTGTGACACTCAATTTTGGATTTTAGCCCCGGCTATAAATAGAGTATTTACGGTATTAGCAAGGTGAAATGAACAAAGCATTTTTTCTTTCATAAACTGCTAAACATACCGCATACAATCAGTTTGTGAAACTTTGCATTCGAATAATTAGCATATTTCGTATAGGCGTGTTTTGAAAATCTTTTAAAGCTGACACATTTTAATTCAGAGATTGAACACTGTTCAAACGGTCAGTGTGCCACAGAGCAAAATGAGTATTATGTACATATTTATATTCGTGTTCAAAATCTGTTAAAATTGACGCATCTGACGAGTTTTTGAAATTGATGACATTTTCATTCTTTTAATTTCACATTTTTCAGGAGTCTTACTAACAACCTCGTTTTTGTCTTGTTGGGTTGTCAGCACGACGGCAGCAGCCATGGCAGTCCCCATCGTTTCCGGATTGGTCGAAGCGTTCAATGTTTCCGACAAGGAGAGAAAAAAGTTGAGGATTTTATTCTTCCTGGCGGCCGGATATGGGGCGAATGTTGGCGGAACAGCGGTCATCATTGGGTCCAGTGCCAATCTCATTTTCCGGGATCTTGTCGCACTGTAAGCATGCAGTTTGTACATATGTAAAACCTTCCAATTATTCATTTATCGTGTGAGAGCTTAAATAATGAGGAAATGCGGAATACATGTAACATACAGATTAACAATTATGTATGTACATACATATGTCTGTACATTAAGTGCTTATCTAGGTGTGATAAGCGTTCATTTATATGATGGCCAATCACCTCGACTTTATAATCGCTTAAGTATACTGAATTCAGGGTAACGTTAGTTTGATACAGAGCAAAGCTTAATCTGTACTGAAATCGAATAGTTTACTTAATATAGAATTTAAAACGCATTTATTTACTTTTCAAAAGGATTACATTATTTTCAAGAGTGTAAATCCGTGCACAAACATAAGGGTAGAACTGCGTAGTTATTTATGGATAATATTTAACCGATCATAATTTAATACTACTTTTGACCATAATTAATACTTTTCCCCCGAATACTATCTCTCACCATAATAAAGTGCTTCCTTGTGTATAATAATTACTTGATTTTACCATAAGTAAAAATACACTTTAAAATCGCTTTAAAATATGAAACTTTAAAAAACTTTACAAACTTTTCGATTTTTAGTCAATTACAAATTTCTTGGAAGGTTTTTCTGGTGTACCACGCTTGCATTTCTCTTCAATGGGTATACATTTAGTGTCTTGTGGAGGCTGCGAAACCTTTAATTTGATCGATAATTGAGTAATTGAGACCAGCGTTGGAAGATTTTAAATGCTTTTTTGAAAAACATATGTAGCGGCAATCATTCCTTAAACGCAGCATTTTAAGTAACGTTTTATGTATCAACTTTTTCTATCGCTTGCTTCCCACAGTGGATATGTGTGAATGATTTTAGTAATTGGATTCTAATCCTTACTGCATAATTTGGACAATTTGCAGCGGTAATTATTCTCGGCAGATATCTTGTCCGTAAATTGTCCAAATTTATATTCGAATATTTTCAAATTCCGTCTTTAAAAAATATACGCAATTACGCAATATTTGTATAATCTGGCATGAATTCGAAAATGTTTAAATTCGAAAAGCATTTTAATATGCAAATATATTTGCACTAAAACATATGCGTGTCCACACTAACCCCTCCACTGGCCCCACTTACCCCATTTGGTGGGTTAATGTGCACACTTGTTTTATTTATTTTAAATAATTGATAAATATTACTTCCAATTATATTTTAAAACTTTTTTTGATCATAAACTAAAGCGAAATAGTTAGTTTATAATGCATGATGTTCAAAATAAGTATTTTTGACTCGGAACCATTTTTTGTTTCACTGAAGAACGCAGATTCGGAAAAAAGTGGCCAGACTAATCCGCACTGACCCTACTATGTTTAACAAAGATATATTTTTCCTCAATACTTGTATAATCCTCGCTCTGGCATAAAAAACTGAAGAGTATTCGCCAATAACTTGGTTATGGTAGACGGAGGATTTATTATGAATAAGTCAGTATTCTAGTTATGGTCAAATTAGACTCCATTATGATGAAAGAAAGTATTTGGGATAAAAGTATTAATTATGGTCGGAAGTAGTATTAAATTATGATCAGTTAAATAGGACCCGTTATTTATTTATGAAAATCCACCCCTTAATTTACAGAAATATCCTATTTTTCACAACAGAGAAAACATTGGTCAAAATGGTAAATATCGCGACATAAATTTCGCCACGTGGGCCGCCTTCGGCGTTCCCATCGCCCTCGTCAACATCCTCATTGTGTGGGGTGTCCTTGGCTTTATTCACTTAAGAGGAAAGAAATCCTTGCCAGACGATGTGGACGACGACATTTCTCAAGATACGGATGCACACACTGTGAGGAAAAATCTGTCCCAAAAGTTGAAAGATTTAGGGCCCTTGAGTTTCCATGAGAAGGCCATTTCTGTAATTTTTGGGCTTACTGTACTCCTCTGGTTCACGAGGGACCCTCAAGTCTTCCCCGGGTGGCAGGAAGTACTATTTCCCTCTGGACAAATTAAAATAGGAGATTCGTCCGTCGCCATAATTATGGTGTTTGTAATGTTCACGATTCCCAAGGACCCCAAGGTTATCTTGAAATGGAAGAAGTTAGGTATGCGCAAAAATTCCTAATTTCGTTCACGGTACATATCTATATTATGTAGGACTCGATGGCTTATCACCAAAATCGTAAAGATCAAGACATTTTTAATTATTTCTCAGCTCTGGGAATTTCTTTTTAAATTTCGACCACAAATTTGTAGTCCGTAATTTAATTAATAGAATAGAGTTTTTTTTAAATTAAGTGAGATAAGCTAGTTTCAAATTGCTAAAATTTTACTGATGACCTCTTAACTTGAAATTTCCTTAAAAATCTGGACTGGGTATTTTGTTAAATTGGCAACGACTACAAACATATCGTCCAGAATTTAAGAAAGGATAAATGATACAAATGTGCTGATCATGACGGTTTTAGGCCTGCTTCGTCTAGTCCTACGTTAAATATTTCACTATTTTGATAACTTTCCCCCTATTGTGCCAGGCTCATCCACCGAAACATTAATGACATGGTCTCATCTTCAGTCCAATTTTCCCTGGAGCGTGCTTCTCCTTCTCGGCGGAGGTTTCGCCATCTCGGACGGCGCCCAAGTTTCCGGTCTGTCCGAATGGGTCGGCCAACAACTCGAGGGCCTTTCCTCACTTCCGCATCCCGTCCTACTTTTCATCATCCTCCTAATTGTCTCCGTCTTGACGGAATTCACCTCAAATTCGGGCACTGTCAGCCTCCTGACGCCCATCCTGTTTTCGCTATCCCGCCGGTTAGACATTCACCCGCTCTATGTCTCCTTCGCTGCCGTGATCGTGTCTCAATACGCGTTCGTCCTCCCGACATCGAACCCCTCGAATGCGATCTGCTTTGCCGCGGGAGAATTAAGAATTAAGGATATGGCCACGCCGGGAGTAATTTTAAACTTTTTATGCTTAATTGTTCTCTTTGTTCTGCATATAAGTTACGGTCAGTTAATATTTAATTTTAGCAATTATAGTTATTCGAATATTACAATAGGAGATGGAGGAAGTGAACTGCTATTCTAATAAATTATGTAAATATATATATAATATTGAAATTGTTAATAGTAAAGTTTTTTTGCATAAGAAACATTCCGTTAGTAAATTTTTACTGTAAAAAAAATACCTGCCCATGGAATGTGTATAATAAAGAGATTTCGGGAGTGGTTGAGGTAAATTTATACATTTACCGCAAACCTTGCTCAATTTTATGCATTCAATGTTCAAGTTATACATATCTGCTTTGGTTTGAGAATGCAGCGAAGCATATTTGTAAATTTTAGTAAGAATAAAAAAATATATACCAATTCAATAAAAACCATTGAGACAAAAAAAATCACTGTGTATTGAAGTTTGCTACGCTTAAAAAATTAAATTTCTAAAAATTGAAATACTTTCGTCTCGATTTTATTGATCGAACACTATTTATTCTTATTCGATTTTACTTGAGTACATAAATTGTGCAAATTTCTTTCCACAATCATCGATAATAAATCAATTCATATGCATAACATCAAATGACTCAAGTGTTGTATGAAGCACTTGTCCGCATCAATTGTATGTAATCCACTTAAGACAAAGTCCAACATGCTCACCTGCTAAATTAATTGCACGCTTCAGGTTTCCATCCATTTCGCAACATTAGGCAATTTGTGTGGTCTTATCACCACTTGTTATCAGATATGCCGTACTCAATTACATACATTGTACATTCCTCTACAACCCAATTACTTGATCAGACTCGGGTTGGCAATTAGTCTGTGAATAATTCGTTCTTATACATATTTACATAATTTCCCGAAATTGTCAAAAAAGAAAAAATGGCACCCAGTTCGAAGAAACCAGGAAATAATGGCAGAATTGATGCCAATTCAAATTTGGGCTACATTAAATCCTCATACCCAGGTTTACAATCTTCTGGACAAAGGGGGAAACCTTTCCCTAATATTTTCGACTGGCTGGAAGGTCATTAAATTATTAGCACTATATTTCAAATATTACAATGATAAAAATAATGTTACATATTTGAAGAGTAAATGCACTATGAATTCTATACATACGTAATCCATGGTAAAATTTACTCATTATCACGTTTACGTTACTCTGGGTTTAGTAGATTTACTTAATATAGAATTTAAAGTGCGTTACTTTTCAAAAAGATAGCATGATTTTCAGAGTGTAATTTCATTCTTTACTTCAAAAAAAAAAATTAGTCAAGAAACGCGACGACAATGTCGGCCCTTACTGGCGAGTTCATGACAAATTGTACGACTTGGACGAATTTATCGCCAAACATCCAGGTGGCCCTGATTGGCTAAGATACTCGAAGGGAATGGATATCACGGAAGCGTTCGAATCGGCGCATGTTATCGGAGGGGGAAAAGTCAACCAGATTTTGGCCAAGTATTACGTGAAAGACGTCAACTTTAAGAGAAATAGTCCCTTCACTTTTAAGGAGGATGGATTTTACAAAACACTTAAACGAAGAGTGGAACCAGTCCTGAAGGTAAGAAAAACTTTTTCGAAATTAAATACATTAAAAAGATTTTAACCTCTCTTAGAAATTCAGGGTCAAATAATACCAATGGGATTCATATATGACTACACAAAAGTTGTATTAAAATTTTTTCCATATCGGTATCAAATTTTTATTGGCTGGTATAATTTTAATGCTAGTTTATAGCAGCTTTAATACCCGGCTGACTATACCATATTGAAGCCTTTTTTTGCAAATTAATTTTTTGGAAACTATTTTTTGAAATTTCATTCTTTTGCATAGGAAATTGGAACTGGTTTCTCCCCAGAAATTTTACGTCTTCAAGACTCATTAGCTCTCGGATATGTGACCTTCGCCCTACTCGGAGTTTGGAGTGGGTCGAAGTTGTTGCAAATTTTAGCCGGAATCCTGCTTGGAATGTGTTCCATCGGGGGACACAACTTCCTCCACAAGGCGGACAATTGGCGTCAATACTATTTTGATTTAAGCCCCTTGTCATCCTTCGAGTTTCGCTTGACGCATCACATGTCCCATCATATGTTTCCGAACACCATTTTGGTGAGTAAAAATTTGTGCTACTTAATTAAAAAATAAATTCCTGAACATTTATCCAGGACTTTGAGGTTCAAACTGCCGAACCGCTGATACAATGGCTGCCTTCTCCGTCGAAAAACTTTGTGCAAAAATATTTAGCACCCATCTATTTCTACGGGTTGTACGCCATCTTCACCCTGACGCAGCTGATAGGTCGGATTCGTTCTATTGTCCTAGGAAAACAGGCTGTCAGACCAGAAAACTTCATAATCTTTGTTGAATTTGGAATCATTTTCATGTTGTCGGAAACATATTGGGTACATAACTGTACAATTATCATGATTAACCATCTATTAGGGTATGCTAATAATGCAAACTCGAAATGAATATAATATCATTATTCTCAAAAACCATTAAGGCTGGACTCACTGCATCCTTAACAATTGTGATGGTGGGTTCGTTCTGGTTCGTGTTTGTCGGATTTGCTCACCACCATCCAAATTCTTTCCATGACGGCGATGAAGCCAGACCGGACCCTGATTTTGGGTAATTCATATAAAACAAACTTGTTTTTACATTTTCTGCACCCTTTAAATAAAATTTTTGCAGACTTTGTCAACTCGACGCTACTCATGGAAAGTCTGACAACTTTCACAAACCATTGCTCTCTATTTTAACAACATTTGGGCAACATCCCATGCATCATCTGTTTCCAACCGTTTGTCACTCTAAACTGGAAGCATTGAAGCCGATCGTGCACCAAGTTTTGGCAGAATTTGAAGAGAAATTACCACTCTTATCACAATTTGAGCTATTCATGGGAGCCCAAGTTCAAATGGGGAGAAGCAAACCGAATGCATGGAGGAAATGATTACTACAAAATTAGGGTTATACCTAAGTACAGGGTGGTTAACCCGTTAGGGACCAACTACACATATTTGTGTAGTTTTTTGCTTTCCCTCGGGGACCAAGTACACAAATATGTGTACTTTTTTGCTTTCCGTTAAGGATCAAGTACACACATTTGTGTACTATTTTGTAGTTACGTTGGGGACCAACTACACATATTTGTGTAGTTTTTTTCTTTCCGTAGAGGACCAAGTACACATATTTGTGTACTATTTCCCCGTTACGTTGGGGACCAACTACACACATTTGTGTACTGCGGAAAAATTTTCAAGACCAAATACACACATGCATACAAGTCAAAATTTTATTTTACAAAATTTTAACACGAACCATTTATTTATGCACATTACCAAAAACTATATATCTGCAAAAACTACAACTGTAGTTCGCTGCAATGCATTGTAAGACTAATTTTAAATTGTTCACGCTCAGAAATAAGCGTATTTTGGAGTTTTCCAGAATAGACATGTTTTCGCCCGTGGCGGAATTTAAAATAAACTTAATTTTTAAAGAAGCAAAAAACGATAATTTTTTGAAAATTAAAAGTTTTTTTTTAATTGATTTTTTATCCCGAGTCAGGGCTTATGTACCCGTCATGTCCGTCTGTCTGTCCGTCTGTCTGTCTGTCTGGTTTGCGATAACTGCCGTAAAACTAATCCTATCGACTTGAAATTTTGCACACATATAGTATGGGTCAAATGAGGAGTTGAGTTCGAAGATGGGTGAAATAGGTCAAGTGGTTGACCGGTGGGGGTCATCGGAGTGGGTGGGGTATTACGCACCAAAATTTCAAAATTGTGTTAGAAAGCTGAAATTTGGCATAGAGGTTGCTAATGGTTTATAATGAAGGAATACAAAGTAAAATTTCAAAAATTTTCGTCTGGAGGGACCCGAGGGGGTGACCCATACCGATTTTTAAAATTGATCAAATCGAGCTGAAGTTTGGTAGAAAAGTTGGTAATAGAAGAATATTAATTAAAAAGGTACAATTTTCCCATAGAGAGACACCCTATTGGGTAACCCATACTTTTTTTTGTAATCTTCGGATCCTGAAATTTGTTACACAGGATGGTAATTGTTACTAATAGAAGAATATGAATTTAATTTGGAAAAATCAAATTTAATTTTTTAATTTATTGATATGCATTTGCGATAAAATTTCATGCAAAAAGTCGGATTGAGTGATAAGCACAACTTGGCCTGACTCGGGCTATATCAAGTCTGCACTGTAGGTTTTATATTTTCAGGGTAGTAATTCTGAGCAAAAATTGTGTTTAATTTTTGAAATCGGATTAAAATTCGAATGGTTACAGCGTTTTAAAAATCCTGACTTTGGCTGATTTTTTTAATTCCACCACGGGCGAAAACATGTCCATTTTAGAGAACGAAAAAATACGGGTCCGCTTATTTCTGAGCATGAACAATTAAAAACTAAGTCCGGTCAATCTCAGTGAAAACCACTTGGACCTTGCTAAACTATCAAAATGTATGAATCAATAACTTAATATTATTGTAATGAACTGCAGATAATTTTTACTAATATGCATAAATAAATGCTTAATGTTAAATAAAATCATCAAAAGTTGCCGAAATAAATTCGGTCCTTTATGGTTTGCACACCCACTGTGAAATCGGTGACGTAACTACGCTTACTTTAAAATCATTTTGGTGACGTAGCTACACTATTGGTAAAATTAAATTGGTTATGTAGCAACAACTAACTGATAAAATTCTGGTCCCCAAAGGAAAGCAAATTTCAATTATTTCGGTCACAAAGGGGTTAAAATGTCAGGCTACATACAATGGAAAACTTTTCGATGGGAAAAATTCGTAAATTTCCATTAGTTATCGAAATTTTGTCTCTAAAATTCAACATTTTTAGAATTTCGTCATCAGTTTTGATAATACATAATTAAATATAAAAATCTAAATCCAAAATCATGTATGTAACTAATGGCGATTTTGGATGTTTTCCCATTGAAAAATTTTCCATTGTAGCGTGACATTTAAACCACCCGGTACATGATTATGTATGTGATTATCTTTGTACGATGTTGATTCTATTGTTCAACTGTCTGTATTTATTATGGATAATTTTGGATGATAAGTATGTAGTAATTACTTGAAGAAAATAATACATAAATAGTATTTGTAAAAACGTTAAACACGTGTCCAACTAGTTTCTAACCTTATCTTAAGCACATCCACGTCAAACTTCAAAAATTTAGCATCTCGCAAAGTTTTGCGAAATTTGCATGACGTCGTAAAACTTTTGCTGGAAAATCGTAGAATTTTGTCGCAAGTATAATAAAACAACATTAACAATTCTGGGCAAAAAATCGCCAAAATTTCCAAAATCGAGATGCCTTTCTGTACTGAAATAGTTGACAAACTTCCATCCTCAGAATTTATAGACGACTTAAACCTTCTAAATTCCTTCTGAAATCCTTCTAAATATAGCATCCTTTGCATAGACCGATTCCATCGACTATGCAAAGGACGCTATAATCGTGTTATTTGGTGGAAATAATCGTTGATCTGGATACGCGTAGAATTGCGTTTTGAGTAAAGCATACGTCACAATAATGCTCACCACCTACAAAGAAAACGTGTTCTGTATCATCAAAAAATAAGCCAAATTTTGTATCAACCTACACTCCCAAATAATCCGTAGTTGATCGTCAAGCATCCAAACGATGACAACGCGATGGGTTGACCGCTAACCTCGTGGAGTACGATGGACACCTGTAAGGGATCAAGGTGACGGTGGTTCTCGTTTTTGTACGCCCAACAGCGCACCGTTTCGGCCTATAGTTTAAGGTAAAATTATATTTTTAAAATTGTAAAAAAACGTAATGAGGATACTCATAATTGTCTTCATATTCTTAGCATTTATCGTCAAATAGTTACAAAATAATAAGGGGCAAACTTTATAAAAATCATAACCTTAGTCAGTCAATTTGTGACGATAAAATCGTACGACTTATTAAATTTAGTAACCGTCGCAAATTAAGTTACCATACAACGAATACTAAAGATACGAAAGAAGAAGGAGTACATTTAATATATGTTTTCCTGGATTCTCTACCTTTTTGGCCGCCCTGGCCGCAAGAAACAAGGAAGGAAAGAAGTACGAGCAGTAGACGGAGTACCTCAACCGCATCCATGGGTTTGACGTGTCACGAAAAGTTTCCAATAAATTAGTCGCATAAAATGGCAGATTTCCGACGACAAACGCCCCCAGGACTAGACTCATACTTGAATTAATTTCTGTCATGACATGTTTCAGCCAGCGGAAGTGAGTTAGCACCTTAAAGAATAAACATCGCAATGTTTTACTTTACATAAATTGCACTGCGACAAAATCTGTTCCAGTCACTCAGATATTGATTTATCGGTACTAAAATTGCCAAAGCATTGGTATTAAAATTGTACTGGTCCGTAAAAATTTGCTACCAAAATGGTAAAACTTTAATACTAGGCTATTACCACGCGGTATAAATTATCAGTACCACTGTGGTAAGCACCCTATGCATACTGCATACATATGAATACCGCTTGGTATTATTTTAATATCAGATTTCTAACGATGTATTTACCTCTAAAGGGCAATAACTAGTCGATCTTGTCTCCCCGTGTTCATCAGTGGGTTTCAATTTGGCCGTAAACGTTGCCACCAATCGGCGAACCAGAAGAACGACCAAGACGAAGAGGATATCGCCAAAAGCGTTGAGGATTCGGTGCAGGCAATTCGCGTAAAGTGCGATGAATGCTAGAACATTGTTCAGAATGTCGCAGCCATGTGGCATCATGAAGAATACGTTGGCCGCATCGGCGTAAAAGTACTGCCAAAGACTGGAATTATCGAGATTTATTTCCAAAAGATAAAGCCCCACGGTGGACAGAGCGAGACAACACAGGGCGTTGGATTGAAGACCAGGTGTTAGAAAAATCTGTGTTAGGGGATGAACAAGTTTTTAATGGTAGCTTTTTGCTAAATTAAGAACAAAATAATGAGGGTATTCGTTACGAGTTCGCATCATTAACAAAGTTAGCAAAAAACACAGTTTTCCAGCTTCGAAACAATTAAACTTGAAAATTCAGTTGCGAACTTGTGCAGGATATTTAGCTCGCAATTTCGTCAAAAATTACTCAACTATACCAAAATTCGTACTCGTACACTCTTAAAAATAGTGTTATATTTTTGAAAAGTATGTATTTAAATGCACCCTCGATGATTCGACATACATATTAAGTATCAGTAATGGTATTATAATACTATTACTTGATTTATAAATCAAGTATGATGCTAAGTTAACATTGAGTAAAGTTCCCGTTGGATACATTAGATTGAGGGTGAATTAAAACGGTAACATTATTTTTAAGCGTGTAACGAATGCCGTTAATACATACGTGGACATACCTTATTTTTGGCTGAGTCATTCTGCGGATTGTTAGAATTCTCGTGAAAATCTATCATATTCAGCAGACGTACCTGTTGGACCGCTTTCTTTGCCAAAATGACAAACACGACCACCATCAGAAGCGTGTCGCACAGGTAATTAGCCGAATTGAAGTACATTGCGGGATTCTTGTACCAAGTCGTGGTGTAATGTTGGCGAAATTTTAGCGTGTAATAAACCCCACCAATACACATGTTGAGATAACAAGTCACCTATATACAGAAGTTAAACTAAGCGCTAATCAATTATTAATTTACACGTTTTAATATGTACAAATCTGGTAAGCCTTACCTTTTGGAACTTATTGGAATGGATGCTATACCCAGTTTTGGTTCCGTCGAGGTCATACGACATCTGAATCCGTAATGGTAAAATGTTCAGGAAATATGCGAATTTGAAAAACACCACGAGATATTGGACCTCAGATTCGCTAGATTTATCAATTTGGTTTCCTTGACAAGCAGGATCGTCTTCTTGTTGAACTCGAAGGGGTAAAGGGACCCCTTTACTATGCCTCAGACCCATTTTTCAATAATAATGACAAATACAAATCTATGGATAACTTCAAATTCGAATGCTAACACAACAAGTGAATCTGTGTAGAGGATAAGCGCGAATTTTACTTGGTATGAACAAACTGCTTATATTTATTCAGGTTCAGGCTGTCTATTTTCAAGGAGGTGACCACACAATTAATTAAACCAGTGTTTATTACGAAGTTGGGAAGTTGTCTTTACACAATAAATATACAGAGCAAGTGAAAGCGAGTTTATTCGTGTGCTGGTTTATTTTCTGGAACATGCAGGTGCAAAAGGACATCTTCAATTATCTTAATGAAATTTCAAAGTTTGAGTAAACACTTGAATAATGACAGCTCAAGGAGTGTTGAACTGCATAATATTTGTTTTATGTGAGGAAATAGCAGAATAATATTTGCATTTGTACTAGAGGTGAGCCGGGCCTCCCGACTTGACCCGTACCCATAGAGTGACCATACGTCCCGGTTTAGCCGGGACATGTCCCGGTTTTCAAAACCTGTCGCGGCGTTCCGAAAATGTCCGGTTTTGACAAAGTGTCCCGGTTTTTAAAATCGTAGGAAAAAACTAAATTATCTCACTTTTTCGCCAAACTATTGATGAAAAAGTAGATTTAGCACATAAATACCAGTAACTTGCAGGTAATATTTATTTAATTGGCTTTCCTAGTTTTTTCTAAAAATTCGGTGATATCTGAACTGCCAAGCACTAGATATTATTCAAAATTTTTTGGCCAAGCACTAGATATTATTCAAAATTTTTTGGCCAAAAAATGTCCCGGTTTTAGTCAGGACAAATATGGTCACCCTACGTACCCAGCCCATCTAAATGGGTTGGGAATTGAAAATTGTCGGGTTGAGTTAAATAGCATTATCCAATATTAGGAAGGATTTAGTATGTCGGGTTTCAAAAACATTAACCCGACGCACCTCTAATGTCAACATCATTACATCGCACTTCAATTCGTTGGTTTGATGCGTTTCTCTGGACAAAGATGTGGGAAACGCAACGCAATTAATTACATAATTAGGAACTTTACTGTATTATAATTTGCAAACTGGATTCAACTTGCAACTTTCCCAAATTGGGCAACTCGAGAAGAAAATAAATTAAATTATTATAGTTTTTATAATTATAACTTTATGTAATTTATTCAAATGGATTAATTTATTACATTACCTAAGCTCATGTCCGGTTATAAACAAGTAAATTGCAGAAAATAATAGTTACTAGTACAGTGTAATTATATATGTAGCAATACATGCATTATAAATACATTTCTCATAATCACGAAAAATGAATGATGGTTGTTTTTGCAAGGATGTGCCTTTTATGCCCATTTATGCACTACGTATGTATAAGCTGTCACAAGGCAATGGATTTTTGACGAAAAATAATTTTGAGCTACTACATACATAAGTATTTAAATAAATTTTCAGGCAGGATGTAACCATATTTCATAAAAATTGGTCTATTTACTAATTGTATTTTACAAATATTAATATTTCGAAAAATCAAACGAGTCACATTTGCCTCCGTTCTATTTCTAACTTTCCTCCACCATCTTTCCTCCTTACATTGTAAAGGAATCGTAACGAAACCAAAACTGCTCTCCAGAAGCAACGACATAGTTTTCCTCTACGTTTTCCAAATCAAAAACATACGCAGCATGTACTCCGTTCCGAATTTCTTCTCTCACTTTCTCCTGTTCAATTTCATCGAATTTCAAGAATTCCGATTCATTAATCAAATTGTAGCACATTTTGTACATTATGGGGATTAGTGAGTAAAGCTCTTCCCCACTATAGAGCCAGCGATTCTGAAATAGTTCTGACCGACGTACTTCCAATTCATTTCGGTACAAAATACTCACCATTTCAGTAATTTGCGACACAATCCTTTTTTGCGGTAAGCATTGTAGCTTCGGGGAAATTGGAATTGTTTTTATGCCCAAAATATTGAAGTAAAATACGCCCCCAGGTTTTAGCAGGTGTTCAAAATTTTTACACGCTGTTGCAATATCTGTCACCCAATGGAGCGTTATATTCGACAGGATTAAGTCCACATGTCCGGCGAGTCGGGTTAATTCCGGGGCAAGTTGGTCCCACGGCTGAGAAATGTCTTGACTCACGTAGCTGATTGTTTCCGGGGTGGAGTTTTTATTTTCGGAAAGTGTAACGAGGCCCAGGTCGCTATCGATGCCGAAGATGGTGTCGTGTGGGATTAACCTAGCCATGGCACGAGACAAATTTCCCGATCCGCAACCAACGTCTAGAATTATGGGGAATATCCTGTACAAAAGTTTAAGTATTTTAAAAATTCATTTATAAATGTATAATTTACTTGAAAAATAAAAATCTTAAAATTTTTGCAAAGTTGCAATTAATAATGACACAATTAAATCGTAATTTTAAATTTGCATTGATTATTTGTTCGAAATTAAAGAATTATAGGGTGTCACCGGCAAATGTTTTAAACAAGTTTAAAATTACTTAGCACAATAAAGTAGGAAAGATTTTCCATATGAAAATTCTCTTACCCTGTAGGAAAATCGGATATGATTTGTCCAATTAATTGTTTGCCTTCTTCAAACCGCATTGAGTTTCTCTTATCGTAATCCTCCAGTGTAACCTTATCCATCTTGGCTTGCAAAATGAAATTCTATACATACATGCTCGTTCAAATTAGTTTTGGGAATGTGGTAGTCAGTAATTCAGACCATCCTATTTATGTATGTGAATCTGCTCGCTAATTTATGCAAGTCATGAAGACAAGATTTTTACAAATGTCAAATGTCTCTTTAGTTAATTGAAGAATTAATTAATTCAATTCAATAATTTATTCAAGTTTATATATAAAATGTGTATCCAATGATCTTAATACCAAGAAACCACGAGGAGAAGTTTGACAAACCCAAGATAAGATGTTATAAAAATTTGCTCAACTTGTCTACGAAAGAAGTTTGATGTTAATATAATGGAATCCTTATGGGATGGTTACATAAATGTTTACATCTGTATTACACTTGTACTACTAGTAATATGTACATATCAACTAAAGACCAGTGTGCCATTAAAAGGGGAAAAAATTGAAGTGACCAATTTGTTGATTAAAGTGTTCAAGATTTGTTTGAGGTAGATTTAGGTAGGTTCGTGAGTAAGGTACGTGCAAATGTAAATTATGGTGAAAGTTATGTAAGAACTTGTTATAAAACTGGTATTTATAAACTAGTAGTACAGATTTAGTATTTAATATTATACTCGAAATACTCAATTTCAACTATGCATAGTATCCGCTACCACAAAGTTGAAGTTGCAATGAAACTTTCTGTTATATGTAGAAATGATGTAATATTTAGACTTTACAACTTCGTATGCAAAACTCACGCTTCTACGGATAATTTCCTCGTTGACGATTTTTAAGGTTACGAAGGTCAGAATTTTTAATATTTAAGATGAGTGGTCAAAAATAATATTCTATGAATAACTTTGTCTGTAATGTGCCATATTTTTATTTGATTCTATACATTAGGCAAGCAAAATAAGCTATCGCATAACCGTGTACGATCTTATTGGCACCGACAAGAATTTTTCGACAAAACAGGTTTTTAGGGTCTAAAATCCTGACCTAGACGAAATTCAAATAATTGAAATATATACATATACCTACATACAAATGCATATTCCCCATTTATACGCATTTGTATGTGTATTTCAATTCTCTGAACTTCACCGCGGTCACTATTTTAATAAATAAGTAGCATTTAATGTTGAAATAAATACTTCAGTGATTTAAAATCTATGAGACCAATTAGTGTTTAAGACCTTCTGTAAATATTGGAAGATGCTTAGGAATTAAGTCTGCATAATAATCCAAACAATATTACAATAGTAAACACTAATTGAACATGTTAAGATAATGCACAACTCCTAAATAGTTTAGAAGTTTTTGCCATAACAATAGTGATACACCGATTTTCTAGTTCCTGCGAGGACTCTAACTGAAGCACAGTTAGAGTTCCTGGAAAGTGTATTTGAAAAACAGCCACCGCAAAACAGATGAAAAAGTGAGATTTTGGGAGCACACACGATTTCGTTCCAGCTGCCAAACGTGGTGGCTGCAACTCTCACCGCCAACACCGCTCGTCCCCACATATCCTGGCTTCAAAAATGACGTTGAAGGCACATAGGCGGCGGCTGCACCACCAATTTCGGAGTCGCGTCTCCCCTAATTTTAGGTTCTACGATGCTGGGTCTGGTGCAGAAATAGGGGTGCCCACGCCACTTATGTGACTTCAACGTAATTTTTTGATGCCAGGATATGTTGGGATTGGTGGTGGTGGGGGTGAGACGGTGGTGCACCACGGTCGTGGGGCGAAGCACGCACTGCTTGGTGCGGCAGCAGCCACCACGTGCTGCGTTAATACTACCGATTAAGGGGGAGAAATGAACCCTCTATCGATGCGTTTTTCCTTATGCACTTTCCGCGAACCCTTTCTGGCCCACTCCAAATAAAAATAGCCAGTTGGGTTCGCCGTGTGAACTACCGATTTTCATGAAATGTGACAAAATTAAACAGTTTTTAGCCAAATCAGTCTTTAAAACATTTGAAAAATTAAACAAATTCGAATTATAATTTTAATGAAATTCAAAATTTAAAGAAATAATTTGCAGTTTAGCATTTTTTAAAAACTACTCACATTTATCACCACACACAATTTATATATACATACATTACTTACACACTTTATAGGTATTTAAAGCAACTCCGATCCCAACAAGAATTATGATCCAACTTGTTAATCAACTTTTTTACACAGACACAACATGTGTATTTCCAACAAAACGTGTTTGAGCGATGTAGACAACAAACCTGACCTATGTTGTGCATAACTATTTTAACGACAATTTTATTTATTGGCTGTCTACGTCCTCTTCCAATGTAAATACTTATCTGAGCACTCTTTCCTCAGACTACTGTTAAATCATTACCGGTCGGGGTGTACATATTTGTATGTGCACGAGGAAGATGAAAAGGAAATTCCGTTTTTTTTAATCCTATTGAACCATGCTACATATGTAGCACATACTTGCAGTGCGATGACGCCATCGGTCTCGCTCCGATTTTAATGAAACCACGATAATTATGTAGCCTTAGGTAAATAAATGAACACATGTTTCGGGATTTTTCATAATGCTCAGTTTAAACAAAGTTATGATGGTATAAGTGTCCGAAAATTCGCATTTTTCTCGTGAAGTTTTTCTTTTTTTGTTTTTGAGGGAGAAAAATGCGAATTTTCGGACACTTACACATACCATCATAACTTTGTTTAAACTGAGCATTATGAAAAATCCCGAAACATGTATTCAATTATTTATGTAAGGCTACATAATTATCGTGGTTTCATCAAAATAGAAGCGATACCGCTGGCGTCTTCGCATTGTTGGTTCAATTGGATTCACAAAACTTTTTCTTATATGTACCTAGTCTATTTACATATAAGAAAAATTTGTGACCTGGCCGGATTCGAACCGAAACCCAGGGTGTTTCTCATCACTAGCAATTTCTCACTTTCCCCACAATGCTCGCGTGAATGCTGAAGGAATCTTTCTTACAATTGGCACATAAATATTTATACTTATTTTGAGACAAGTTGTAACTACAAACTTTAAAAAAAATTGGTTACCCAAATTTAATATTTTCAATAATCCACTAACTAACATAAATACAATTCCCTCTTTTTCAATTTTACTTTTCCGCAACAAGCTTTCCTTCTTGATTTGTAAATGCGTGATAACAAAAGCAGAACGGGTCTCCGGAATCGACAACATAATTTTTCGCCTCTTTTTCCACATCGGTCGAGTACGCGGCATGTACTCCGTTCCGAATTTCTTGTCGAAGCTTTTCTTGCTCGAGTGTATCCAATTTTGAAAATTCTGCATCGTTAATCCTGCTGTAGTACATTTTGTACAACATAGGGACCAGGTCTTCGAATTGTTGTCCAGTGTACGGCCAGCGATTGTAAAATAATTCTGACCGACTTACGTGCAAGTCATGTCGCTCCAAAATACCAACCATTTCAAAAATTTCATCCGCAACGCTTTTTTGTTTTAAGTATTGTTTTTCGAGGGAAATTGAAATTTGTTTTATGGCGAAAATATTGAAATAAAATGCTCCCCCAGGTTTCAACAGGGTTTCCATATTTTTGCATCCTGTGCCAATATCCTTCACCCAATGGAGCGTCATGTTCGACAGGATTAAGTCCACCTTATAGGTTTGGAGATATCTTGAGCAACATACTTGATTGTTTCCGGGGTGGGGTTGCTACTTTTGGAAAACGAGACTATATTCGGGTCGCTGGCGATACCGAAGATTGTCTCGTGGGGGATTAATTGGGCCATGAGACGAGTCAGACTTCCTGATCCGCATCCAACGTCCAGAATTACGGAGAATTTCCTGTTCAGAAATTTTCAGTGTAGTTATGAAAATTTAAAACTCCTTTAAAATTTATATTTGTCAGACATCAATCTCAAAATTCATAAATTTCCTCATTGAAAAATCATATACATACGTAGGTGTTTTATTATTAATTTTCAAAAGGTATGTTCCGCACTGTTTCTGACCAAAATTGTGATGAAATAACAAACTTGAAATACATTTAGGAGGCTGTGATTTTTTTCAACTCTGTGGGTTAACATAAACACTAGCAATAAATCGGCAAACTTTACCTCGACGGAAAAAATGCTAGATTTGCAAATTAAATATCGTAGTGTGATTTAATTTTTAATGCTGGATGGGCAATACGTGTCGCAGATTTATGGTTGAATGCTTAAAATGTACAATGAAAACTGCCCAACACAAAACACAAATTCAATTGGGTCAATAATTTTTAATGATGGCGAAACGAGGTCTCGGGCAAAAAGTCGCAAGGACGCTCAAAATCCGCTTCTTCCACAGAAAGGCTCCGGAAACTAGAGGAACCAATAATGAGAGATCCGCGATTGAAACTGTCCTATATAGCAGATGAGATGGGTGTTCCAAAACCAGCAATTTGTTCCATGTTAACTGAAGACTTAGGTATGAAAATGGTTTCCGTCCGTTGGGTACCAAAATTTCTTTCGGCATCTAACAAACAGGATCGAGTCGACTTTTGCAATGCCAATTTTAACCTATTAAATGAAAACTTGAACCTGCTCAATATTTTATTAGCTAAATATGGTACCTGAGTTTACTATTATGACCCGGTGACCAAATAATAATTCCCTCAATGGAAGCAGGAGGGGTTGCCACCGCCCGAGAATTGAAATGTGCAAAAATCTGACAAAAAATTGATGATGATGACCATTTTCAAGGATATCAAAGGTCCCCTCCTTATAAAATTTATTGCTGGAAATACTACAATAAATGGGGCCGCGTATGCAGGTACCCAGAAGGAGCTGCGTCCTCCGGTTGAAAAGAAACGTGGGGTCAAAATATAGAGTTGGCCTTTTTTTAGACGACAACGCTCCTCCTCATACCTGGCTTTTTGCGAGGGATAGTGCAGACGAAAATCGCTTTACCTGCACAAACCACACCCCGAGCAGTTCAGACTTGACCCTTAGTGATTATTATTCGTTTCGAAACTTAAAGAAAGACATCAGGGGAAAACGGTTTTCGGATGATAGTGATATGAAGTCGTAAATTTTGGCATATTTTCGAGGTAAATTTTAATGGGTTATTGCTAGTGTTAATGTTAACCTACAGAACTGAAAAAAATCACAGCCTCCTAAATGTATTTGAAGTTTGTTCTTTCATCAAAATTTTGGCGAGAAACAGTGCGGAACATACCTTTTGAAAATTAATAATAAAACACCCACGTATATAGTTGAATCATAATTTTACCGATTTTTTATGGGAAACTACGCATTATGTAACACGTAAGGATTCCCCATAAGTGTTAAAAATTTGTGTACTGCATACATAAATTACCTTGACACATGAACTCCTGTTAAAAAGGAGCATTTGTTTCGTATTTTGTGGAAAACTCGATAGTAAAAAGTTAATTTTATTTTAGATATTTTTTCCCCAAATATTGAAATTTCCCTAATTCCGACCAATGTTAAAAACTGGATTTTGAAAATTGCCTTACCTTGTCGGAAAATCGGATAAAATTTGTAGTATTAATTGTTTGCCTTCTTCAAACCGCATGGAATTTCTCTTATTGCAGGTCTCTGAAGTAAGCTTATCCATCTTGATTTATATTTTGTATTTACGTGAATGAAGCACTTTCTCGTAAATTGAAATTCTATATAATCGTACGCTTGATCTTATGGGATGTGGTTGTGAGTAATTCGGAGTGCCCCCTTTATATACATATGTGCGTGAATCCACTCGCTAATTTATGCAATTCTGAGAGACAAAACTTTTATCAGAAATGGACCTATTGTCAACTAATCGAAGACTTACATAATTTAGTTCAAGCATTTGCTCAAGTGGCATTCGTACATACATAATATACCCATTGATCTCAATTCCAAGAAACCATTCGAAAAGTGTTGATTCAACGGAGATAAGAAGGATATTATTATCCAGTTTACAAAAATAGTGGAACATTTTTATATCGAGATAATTGAAAACTTACAGACAAACATATGCGAGGGTTACGTAAATGTTTACACATGTATTACATATGTACACATATACTAAAGACTTGTGTACCATTACAAATTACCTTGGCAAGTCTGGAAATATTAAAGTGCTTTAGACTTGAGGTAGACTGAGGTACGTTCGCGTAGGTAGGTAAGTAAAATTAAGTGAAACTTATGTAACAGGTTAGAGTTGTTTTACATAGTAAAATACATTTTATTGAATTGAACCGGAGCAACGAGTAATTCCCCCAAAAATATGTGACTGCATCTCCTGATCGGTTCTGGGTTGATTTGCATAAAGTTATTTTGCATAAGAGTCATATTGTCTAATCCTTTTTGAATAAACACTTTTTCACATAACAGTACTTTTTACATAATTGGATATCGCATAATTTTAGGATTGAATATACTCGTGCATGCACACCGCAATATCCAATGAATCGAGTTGTTACATAAAGGGTGTTAATAAAGTCCGATCCCATGCATTTTTTGGAGCGTGGTTGTTACAAATTCAGCTGGAACTTTTGAACCAGTGAAGTTATTTATTTCAAATTTTTACCATGGGAGGAACAACTAAACGTGTAAGTCATGAGCATCTTAGAGTTGAGATACAAACATTGCATCAGCAGGGGCTTAAACCTACAGAAATTGTGCAAAAATTGGGCTGCAGCCGCAGAACTGTTTGGAAATGGAAGAATAAAAATTTTGTCCACGACAAAAAGCGACCAGGGCGACCCAGAAAGGTGTCACCTACCACAAAAAGAATGATTAAAAACAGACTTTGCAAGAAAACCGGTAGTTCATTACGTAATTGAGCAAGGGAGTTAAATGACTCAAAACGCTATAAAGAGAAGAAGAAGCAAATTAACTGTGTGACCGTGCAAAAATTTGTGAAAACTACGAAGTGGGGTCACACAGCTTACAAACTAACCAAAAAAACCTCTCATGTCACAAAAATATATCGATGACCGTCTGAAATTTGAAGAACTCCTTCAGAAAAGTGCCCATTTGAGTGAAAAAAGACTTGGTGAAGAATTGCGCAGTCACATCCTTTGGACTGACGAATCTATTATTGAACTATATCCAAAATTGAACCAACAAAATGTTCGTTACAGGACAGAAAACAAATCGGATGTACCATCAAGAGCGATCCCAAAATTCGGGCTTAAAGTTATGGTAGCGGGTGGATTTTGTGCACGTTGCGTGACCCCTCTACATATCATACCAAAAGGCAAATCAGTCAATGCAAAGCATTATATGGAAAAAATATTACCTATCTATTTCGATAGCATGGGGAACAAGGAAATATTTCCGAATGAAAGAAAAATAGTTTTCATGCAGGATGGTGCTATAGCCCATACAGCAAAAGCGAGTTTGAGTCTCATCAAGACGCAAGTTTCAACGGTCTGGAGCAAGGGGGTGTGGGCCGCTAACGGCCCAGATTTGAATCCCCTGAAGAACCAGTGGTCCATACTTAAGGAAAATGTATACAAAGAGCCACAACCCCGGACGAGGGAAGAGCTAGTAAAAAAAAGTTCAAGATGTATGGAATTCGATTTCCAGAGGCACATTGGAAAAATTAGCACAGAGCCTTAAACAAAGAGTTGAGGGCATGGTTAAAGTAAATGGTAACAAGACCAAATACTAAGGTAAATATGTCGAACATTTTTTGTAAGTATCACGGGTAGTTTTTTTTTATACTAGCCTTCACTTTTTTACAGGAAAAATGGGATCGGACTTTATTAACACCCTGTAGATGTAACAACTCGATCTCTTTATTCACAAAGTATGTAAGAAGGATAATTCCTGACGCAGACCGATTGAGAGCGCCTCTCTACGCTATAGGAACTTATGAAGTGAACTTAAATATAATTGAAATTGTCAGAATCTGACCATTTCATTCAGCATTAAGTTGGAATTCATGGAATACTGCATGGAATACTTATCCCCTTTCTAACTATTTTTCAAAAATGCTGGACAGAACCAAAGTTTGTACAAATCAAACGAAAGCTAAGATTATGCAAATACTAGTTATGCGAAATTGTTATTTTGCATAATTTGAAATTAGGCAAATTCCCATTATGGGATATGGGTATTATGCAAAATAAATTATGCAAAGCAACCGGAGGCCTCCTGATCTCGAGGGGGGTGATTGATAGGACTGACTCCATGACTTCCTTTGACGTTAAGTGTTTAGGTTCAAAATTTCAAGTCCTATGTATTTCCGTTCAAAAGTTATCAGAGGTATGGACAAACACACAGACAGACAGAAATACGGACGGACGGACATAACGATCTTATAGAGGGCTTTCACCCCTTAATAATTACTTATAGATAATAATTACTTAATCACTTGTAGTGTAAAGTAACTAGGTATTTACACACTCAAAACAAAACGGTGTCAATATATGACTTAACCGTCTTGGTTACAATTGTGATTCCGAGTAGTAATGAATTTGTTCCGTCCGGTCATAACATTATAACTACCGGTATCAAAATTATCATAACTCGGATTCAACATTGTAACCAATGCGGTTAAGTCATATACTGACACCGGCGGTGTTGATTCGACAAATTTTTATTTTGAGTGCATATATTAACTAAAATTGAGGTACATAGTTAGTAAAATTCTCACACATACTATTTAAATACTTTTGAAATACTTAAAACCCATCTGGCCTGAACAGGAATTACGATCCGTCATGTTATACAACATTTTTGGACAGATCCAACATATGTATTTGCAACAACACATGTACATATGTATTAGCGATGTGAGGAACACACCTGAACCAATAATAAGTACTTATTTAATTTACGATATTTTTATCCCGTGTCATCTTGTCATGCAAATAGATTAACTCTTAGGCAACTGCTATTAAATGACTACTGATTCGAGTCTACCAGCAAGGTAATAACCAGTATTACGGTTTACTAATGTGTGGTGTCTCGATGATAAAAAATTGGCTAGACTGAAATTGATTTAGACCAAACGACCCTACAGCCTTATTTTCCTTGGCCAAACGCACTCAACCGGTTGCTAAGTACATACATAAAACTTTAATGATTTATTTATGTATAGGCAATTTCTTTAGGTTATTATTTATTCGTTATTGTTTCATCCCTAATTTCTCAATCTCTGCAGAATAGATATTGATCAACTCTAGTTTCCTAAATTATGTAGTTACTACTTGGCATCACCAAAGCCATAGCTTCGATGGGGAAGCATGACACACAAAAAAAGATTAAGAACATTTCAACGTATTAATTTAACAAGAATGGATTTATTACGTCATATTCAACATTGTCTATAAACCAACCAGCTTTTGCGTAGTCATGAATGGTTACCTACATATTATTGATAGTTGTAAAATCGTTAAATTAGATAGGTAAAACTATGGTCAAGGAATAAAAGCGACATTTTTAAATGCATTACTTATATACGTTGAAATGTTCGTATTAATAATGTATTTCTTATTAATAATGCCTCGACCATAATTATTGGTAGGAACTTACATATACCAAAATATTTGGCAACTTTATGCCAAAAAATAAATCACTTAAATATTAGTTACTCAATTGCTTACAAATTAATATTTTGATTAATCTAGCTTATCCAAAGTATTTAAATACATATTTGCAATCCCCTCGTTTTATTTTTCACTTCCTCAGACCATCTTTCCTCCTTGAATTGTGAACGCATAATAACAAAAACAAAATGAATCTCCGGAACCGACGACATAGTTTTTCGCCTCGTTCTCCACATCGAATGCATACGCGGCATGTACTCCGTTCCGAATTTCTTGTCGAACTTCGTCCTGCCCGATTTTATCCAATTTTGAAAATTCCGCTTCATCAATCAAATTGTAGTACATTTTGTACATGATTGGGGCCAGGACATCAAACTCTTTCCCAGCATATGGCCAGCGATTGTAAAATAACTCTGCTCGTCCCACCTCCAATTCATTTCGGTGTAAAATACCCACCATTTCAAAAATTTGATTCGCAACGCTTTTGTGCTTTAGATATTGTTGCTGTGAAATTGAAATGGGGTTTATCCCGAAAATATTAAAATAAAATGCGCCCCCAGGTTTTAACAGGGTTTCCATGTTTTTGCACGCCGTGTCAAGATCAGTGACCCAATGGAGTGTCATATTGGACACGATTAGGTCCACTTGTCCGGCGAGTTGAGTTAATTCCGGGGCAAGTTGGTCCCACGGCTGAGAAATGTCTTGACATAAGTACTTGATTGTTCCCGTGGTGGAGTTGCTATTTTGGCAAACCGTGACCATATCCGGGTCGCTATCGATGCCGAAGATGGTCTCGTGTAGGAGTAATTTGGCCATGACATGGGTCAGATTTCCAGATCCGCAACCAATGTCCAGAATTATGGGGAATTTCCTGTTCAAAAGGGTAGTTTACAAAGTGTATAAAACAACCTTGAATTTTTTGAAAATTTAAATCTGTTTGACCACTTGAAATCTTAACATATTGGATTTTTTCTATTACAAATCATATACAAAATTATTAAGTAATTATTTTAAGTAAACGGTACAAAATTTGAGTAAATTTGAACAATTTGAACTGAAATTTACTCTGGAGTAAGTATGGTTGATAGAATTGGGAATGCATTTACTTTTCAAAAAGGTAACATTGGTTTTAACAGTGCAAATATATTGTACCCAGTTATCCTTTCACCCTCTATAATTTTATACAAAATTTGTTCTTGAAGGTTTTAACATGGAAACGGCAATTCCCTTACCTGGTCGGAAAATCGGATAAAATTTGTCCTATTAATTGTTTGCCTTCTTCAAACCGCATTGAATTTCTATTACTGCAGGCTTCTTGCGTAATGTCCATCTTGGTTTACGTATAAAATGAAGGATTGTTTTACATCTGCTATATATGTATGCTCGTTCAATTTATCTTTTGCGATTTAATGTCCAGTACTTCGGAGTATCCTCTTTATATACACGAATCTCATAATGGCTAATTTATTCAATTCTGGAAGAGAAAATATTTACCAAATGAGAGACGCCTCCTTATCAATTAAGTAATTGAGGAGTTAATTTAGTTGACGCATTTATTCCAGTGCCATTAGTACATGAGTAGTACACATGTTTACACATTGATCTCATTACCAAGAAATGTCGCGAAGATTGATGACAAATCTGAGATAAGATGTAATTATCCAGTTTATAAAAATGTATCTGAAATAGGCAGATATATTTATGTATGTCTAAAGAATATATGTGCATACTTATTTATGAGAGGGTTACATAAATAAATACGTATTATAATGTTATTTTGTGCTAAACGGACCCAATGACCAGTATAAAATAAAAAGCAAACTAATGCGAGGGTTACGTAAATAATTATTTGCTAAAGACCAGTGTATAATAAGAAGAAGAAAAATTATGGTGGTCAATTAGGAAATTGAAGTGTTCAAGGTTTGAGGTTGATTGAGGTAGGTTCGAGTAGGTACGTACGTACGTAAAATGAGTGAAAGTTATATAACCAGAAATAAAATATCTGCACACCTGGTGTTATTATTTAATTTCTGAATTTTAATTATTTAGCATTGTTATTCAGATAATATTTGCATATGTTGATTATGTATAATATGCATAAATAATACTTAATAAATATTTGTTAAACATCTGTAAAAATTTCGCGAAACTCTGGACAGTTTTTATAAAAATCTAGCTTTAAAGTATTAAAGAAATGAGTGTTAAAATTTTGGAAAAATTCAAAATTTTTAATTCAAATTATTAGAAAAATAATTTGTTTACAATACTTGCACTTATTACTCATTTGCATCTTTTGCAAAAACATTGTAGGTACCCAGGACACGAAGGGCAGTTGGGAACAATACCCTGTAATCCTAACTACACCAAAAAGGGTAATAGAAAATATGACTAAATTATAGGGGTATTCAATACGAGTTCGCATGTTCGAAATTTAGCATCGGAACATAATTTCGAAGAAAATACGAGATAAATACTATCCTGGAAGACGCACAAGTTTTGGAACGCCAAACCAATTTAGTTTGTGAACTTTATTTTTTCTAAGAATGCGAACTCGTAATGAATACCCAAATTTGTTTTGGCCTGATAACTAACTCAACCCGAGTAGTTACATATTTTTCCGTTTCCGGTGGTGTAATCGATGCCAGGAAAAATAAGATTCTTTAGTGCTTAATTAACTGAGGAGTACAAGTGCGGAACATAACTTATAGTAAGATATCAGACATATATACTTACGTATGTACATATAATATAAATAAATACATGCAATGTGATTTTACTGCCACATTACAATGGACAATATTGCAAATGGAAAAGCTCATGAATCTCCAACAGTTACGAGGCTTTGGGATTGCCACTTTTATAAATTATTCAAATCTAATGAGAAGACTGATTGAACATAGCGACAAAGTTCCTACATAAAATTGTGAATTTCACAGCCAAGACTTCTGAGACAATGGAAGTTGACGAATTTTTCATATTCATACAATTTTCCGTAGTGGCATATAAATATATATATATATATATATATATATATATAAATTGGTATATTGTCAATATGGAAAATAAGTTTAAATGTACATATTTATACATTTAAACCACCCGCGGTAAATACATATATTGTACAAATCACATACATACCTACCTACATTAAATGCGTTGGAAGAGATGTATGCACATGGACACAAATGTATTCATCTCATCCGAGACTAATACCTGAGGGGGCTTCACATCTACATTTATATGTACGTACCCAGAAATTATCCAACAAAAGTTTGACTTACATAAGCCGGAAAACCCAAATTGTATAATAAGTAAAAAAGGATGACTTGTGATTAAATATATCTTAAAAACAATGCTTACTTACAACGATCTACATAATAAATACATCTCACTATGTACAGACCAAGGTTGCCCATGGATGTATGCAGCACTCGAATTAAAAGCCACGCTCGACCAAATAATCTCCACCAAGCGTGGCCCAACTTAATAAAAAACGTAGCAATTTACTTGCTCAGAATGCATGGCCGGGTTATGTACAGTGTGCAGTAAAACATTAAGAACTGAAATAACGCATGCAAAGTGTACTTTGTTTTATTGCTTTTTAACTCTGTTGTTTTGCTATAATTCAGAAATAGAAAAAAATTATCAACGAAATTTTGAAATTTGAATTTAAAAAAATTCTTGTCATTTAGATGGTAACACCATACCAATTACCTTAGAGAAAATTTTACCACATTTCTATGCACTTAAACATGACAATGTCTGAAGTTGTGTAAAAACCCATTCCACACTCTTATAAATAATGTTACGCATTTGAAAAGTAAATGAACTCTGAATTCCAAATTAAATAAACTATGCTATATACATAAATCCAAAGTAAGGTTTACCCCTTCCTAATGAAGTTAAAATTAGTGTGGATTTAGTACAGTATCTTAATACAGAATTTAGAAATCACGTACATACTTTCCAAAAGTGTCACATTATTTTTAAGAGTGCGCAAAAAATATTTTTTTCCCATTCGACGAACACAGAATGATGGATGCATACAAGTACATCTCCCCATTTTGAGATGGTTAAAGGAGATATTAAATCCAGTGATAAGACGGAAAAGAGGAGCAGGTGTTGGTGTAGGCAGGTAGATATTTACTCGTAAATGTACACATGTACATACTTATTTTAAGTAATTTAAAGGAAACTTGCATACACAAGTAGTTCCATTGTACATACGCTTGGTATGCAATTAGTATTGTAACAATGAAGTGCATACCATCATTAATACGTTCACATACCGAACTTTATTTTTGGTTGGGTGATTGTCCATTGCCATGTCCAGCACTGCAGTGGTGTTAGGAGCACCGTCAAGTGAAGTACACAGAAATTCCAAGAATCAGGAAACTTTCACGCCGTCTATTTCTGTCCGCGTCCTGCGTGGAAAAACCCTACACAGTTCTTTACATGCGTAGTTTAATACGCTAACGGACAAAGTGGGAGCCAGATTTTTGTGAACTTAAATAGTTTACATTAACGGACGAATTACTGGGAGCCATATTTTCTGAAATTTTGTGATCTTGTGCAATTAAACTTTTTATGCAGTTTACAAAAAAAAATAAATAGTTTATTTAATATACTAAAGGACAAAGTGAGAGCCAGATTATGTGCAGTTTTATGCTTATTCACAATTGAATAGCTTTCTTAATACATAAACGGGTGAATTGCTGAGTGCAAGATTTTCTGCAATTTTTTTGCAATTTTTTGCAATTAAATTATTTTACACAGTTTACAAATAAGATGTCCCCCATAAAAACCTGCCTTCTCGCCCTCTTCTTCCTCTTCCTCTACCTCTCGATATCCATCCCGCTCCGAACCTACAAAGCAATCGTGACCTTTTTCCGCCTCTTAACCCGACGCCGGTTGGGAACCCAGTTAACCGCGTACGACGCCATTTTCGCCGTGGACGATGTCACCCATCCGCACGGGGCGAACGTTACGCTGCTCTTTTTTGAGGGGGAGATAACCCTTGAAAAAGTCGTGGCGAAGGTTGAAGAGCTTATAAAATTGGACAATTTTTCGAAATTAAGACAGAAAATGGTGAATTTTGGTGGATATTTTTACTGGAGTGAAGTGTCCAACGTCCGGGTGGAAGATCATGTCAGAATGGGGGCAAGATTTGACCCTTTGTTGGAGGAGGAGGAGCATGATGGGGTGCTAAATAGATTTTTGAGTGGAGAAATGATTGCCCCTTTTCGGGAAGGTTCACCCCTCTGGAATGTGACGCTACTACCCGGGTATAAATGTGGCGGATCGGTGCTTGTGATCCGGATTCATCACACGTATGCGGATGGGTACTCGCAAAATTATTTGGTGGATTGTCTACTGGGTGTGAGGAGTGGGTATTTCGTCAAGCCGAAGAAGAACGAGGGGTGGAGAGATAGTGTAAGAGTTTTTCAATTTAAAAAAAAATTGTGAAAATTTAAAAATTTTTGAAAAAAACGCGAGATTTAAATTAAAAAAAAAATATTTTTATCGTAGCTCTCCCTCCTCCTGAGGAGTACGAGGATGATGGCCACCCTCTATCAAGAAGCGCTCGCTGCCCCCACGAATATATACACCTGTCCGAAAAGGGCAACTTCCGGTGTCATCGCCATGGCAACGCTGCCCTTATCCACGTATAAGATGATCAGAAGGAAAACTGATACACATTTTGCTTCGATCGGAATGTGCGTATATTTATTATTACATTTAAATCCATCATTTAATTTATTATGATTCCTTATTAAAAAAACCAGAGACAAAAAATCTGATACGTTATCTGGCAGGATTTGTAAAGAAAAAAATTAATTTAACCAAAGTTATCTGTTTGCGAACGGTTGTCTCTATTTTTTTTAATTGAACCGGAAATCCGATTTTAGTAATTAAGGCGTGCATGCATACCTATGTATTATTACGTCTAATCCATTTAGTTAAATTACTAACTAATTAATTACACCTAAATTAATTAGGTCGTTGATGATCGGAGCGTTACGTCGCTTCCATGCAGAAACCATGACTCCCACCGAGCTTGAATCTTATCTACCTAAACTTGTCGGGATAATGCATGCCCTCCCAAAACCGGGCCATCCCCTCACAAAACTGGTTAATCATTGGGGCGTCGGACTTTTCAAAATTCCCACCCTGGCTGACCCACTCGAGAGATTAATAAAAACGGAGGAACATTTCAAGTCATACACGGGTCAAGGATATGACGAGTTGCTCCACGTGCTCATGCGTGTCCTGGGTTGGGCGCCGAACGTCGTGTTGAAAAAGTTCTTTGGTTTGAATTTTGGAACCTCAATGGGATTCACGAGCGTTCCCGCGATAAGTGAGCGGGTCAAATTTGACGGTGTGACGGTACAAAGCATGGGAAAAGTTTTCGGATTACAGTGGAAACAGTCAGGTAATAGATTTTTCTGTTGGTTCTAACGTAGAATAAATTCATCATTGATTTGTAATTGCACCAGACCCCTACGTATTCAATCTATTGAAATCCAAATTTCTAAAATAACACCGATTTCATAAAGTTTGAGATAACGGCTGGTTCATAAATTATGTAACCCGAGTGGTGGGAGAGGGTCTAAGGCTCCAATGATATCGTGCCTATGTGACAAATGTTAAAGGGGGAGGGGGGGTCTATTTATTAGCAATTTTTGCGTGACATAATTTATGAAATTTGATTTATGGCCTCGTACCATAACTTTCCATGCTATAGTGTTAACTTTAATTAAGGAGGACAACCCTTCACCGACAGAATCACCGATCTTAACGCCCTTTGGATATGTTGTGGTCCTAGGTGAGTCTAGCAAAAGTGAAGAAGGATTTCATTCAATGGCCCCATTCGCGCCCGCCACACCCACTCAAAGGTGCGAAGAACACGAAAAATATCCTGTTTTCGTTCATTCAAAAAATCACCAAAAATCCAATTTTGATCGGATTTTCATAATTTAAGCATTTTTGTGATCCTAGATAGTTGCTTTATCATATCCAATAGCAAACTCAATTTTTTTAATTTTTTGAGTATTTTCGAAACTTTCCTGACCAGGGGTATGCCTTCGAAAAAATCAAAATTTCAAAAAAATTGAGTTAGCTATTGTATATGATAAAGCAACTATCTAGGATCACAAAAATGCTTAAATTATGAAAATCCGATCAAAATTGGATTTTTGGTGATTTTTTGAATGAACGAAAACAGGGTATTTTTCGTGTTCTTCGCACCTTTGAGTGGGTGTGGCGGGCGCAAATGGGGCCATTGAATGAAATCCTTCTTCACTTTTGCTAGACTCACCTAGGACTACAACATATCCAAAGGGCGTTAAGATCGGTGATTCTGTCGGTGAAGGGTTGTCCTCCTAAGTTAATTTTTGGTACTACACAACTTTCGATAAGCAAAAAATTGCTAAATCATTTTTGAGGAATTTCGTTATGAAAAATGGGCAATTTTTATAATCTATGGTTCTGTTATACCAAAAATTAAATTAACACTAAATTATCAACAATTTATCTCAAAATTCATTAAATTTACTCCACTTAAGAAATTTATATTTATTATTGACAAAGTAATTACTTACTTGGACAATAAGCAGATCAATAATAAAATCTGTCCATACGCGGTAATTAATTAATATATGTTTTTACGTAGCTTTTGCCACCGCTGTGTATACCCACGCCGACTTGGCGAGTATTACCTTGTACGCTAATCGAGACATTGTCCCCGATCAGGCGGGTATGGATCGGGTCGCTGGATATTTGCGCGATGAATTTAGTGAGCTGGCGAAACAGGTTGATCACGCTTACAAGCGGGGGTTGAAATTGGGATAAGGTCACGTGGCAATTTTTCGTCATCCCCTCATCGGTAAATATTGCAATATCTAGTTAGTTATTTATGCGTACGTATTTGTATGATTAACCCGTAAATTTACTAATTTTTTTAGAAGTAATAATAATCATCGAAATTTTGATAGGTTTTTATGTACTTTTGCTTAAACAATTTTGTATCGTCGTTTTGTAACTCGTAATATATATATGTATGTAGGTATGCATACATACATACGTACCTAACGAAAATTGGTGCACCTGAATTAAACTAATGTTGTTATAAATAATTACAATTTTTTACTTGGCGTAATAAATGATTTAATCAGATAATCAATTTATATTATGTAAATATCGTTATACACACAATCATAATATTAAATGTCGGAAAAACTGACCACCAATGACGTAATGTTTTCATCATAATGAAATCATTACATGGTTTCCATGCTGTGAACATAATTTAAAAAAGGAAAACCTCGCACCCTCTATTTATTCTTTGTAGATAGCTGTATAGATGTACAATTTATTACCATTAAGACATTCCAATTATTTATAAAACCATTCCTTTCATTTACTGAATAAATGCGACGCTGAATTGATTTGACGTAAATATATGTACATATGTAAATATGAATTTATTTGAGTTTATTATAACCACCTTTTTAGGTGTTACTCCTATAAATTTACAATCATAGATGTGCATATGTATAAGCATTACATAACGAATCAATGACAATACAATGACAATTATTTTCTTGCCAAATTAGCACTGATTTTACATCTTCGCAGCAAAAACATTTTCACGTTAACTTAGACTCATTCCTGATATAATAGAAATCCTTCGTAAGAACGAAGAAATATGGGCTTTGGAGGCTAATCTATTGATAATTGTTTTTCCAAAAACGAAAAATACTTTTAGAAATATTACCATACACACAAAATTTTATACGTCTCGCAAACACTACAGCTCTTTCTTTGCACTCTATCAACGTAATTAACCCTGCCAGACTTAATAATGCCGCACAAATTGCAAACATATACCTTAAAGCTACCATTGATACTGGGGTACACTCATGAAACTCTGGCTGAAAGTGGACCCCACTATTTACTTGGGCATAATACTCTTTATACAGCTTCTTTCCATACATCCTCATTCTCCTCACATGAAGAGAAGATTTAAACAGTCACGACCATATCTCAACCAACCCCGATTCAACTAATCTCCTGTATACCAGGTAAAATCGGGGAAATATGAAATTTCTTGTCCCATACATCACCGTAATTGTCTGGAACCCAGTGTCATCTGAAGAATCGATGACGAATCGCTTCCCCAAAAATTTGATTGGCTCTGTAAAATGTTTTAAATCATTCGCGTCATTCATTAATGCAAAAGTTGTACTTGTCTTGAACTTATTTTGGATAGGCTTTGAGCTTGAAATGTTTAGAACAATTTCCTTAATAGAGTTTTCAAAGTGATTGACGTAAGTCAGCCTCTGGTCTAAAGAAGCGATTGATTTTGAATAAGAAGAATTTGCCGCCATTACTGCTTTCAATTGGGGTATTATGATACTTCTAAGGGTCGAGTCGTCCTTAATGGTGGGGGTCGATCTGTTCAGGGAAACGAGATAAGATCCAGATGAGGTTGTCGTTAAGATTGGAATATTAGAGGATAGTAGCTGTTCTATCGTTTCCGGTACATTTGGTAACACGGGAACCGTTAAGAATGAAAAGATTGATCCCTTATATAAATTTGCCATGAGAATATAACACCCAAAAAACCAGACGGTCGAAATAACCACGGCGACGCGTCGGTTTGCAAATATCTTTGAAAAATCGTCACTCCCACCATGCCCCAGAAGCAGTGCGCCAACGTCGTAAAGGTCGTGGGAAATGTGTTCCTTCAAAGTAAATCGATAACCAAACCCAGAATCGGAAACTGAAATCCGTACTAAAATTGATATCATAACGGAGGAAATAACTATTAGAATCCATGTCGTAGTATCAAATGGTAACATAAAAGTTCCAAAGTTATTCTCCACCGAGGGAAATACGGTCACAACGGAAAACTTGGTTTTCTCAAAATTCACGTGGTACAACCGGCCTGATTTTGTAGCAAAAATTTCAACGTTATATTAGTTAAAACTGATCGGAAACTTATAAACGGTACACACTTTTACTCAAAGTTTCGTTAATAACTCTCCAGTGCAAAAATGTGAAGTTAATTTTTTGTTGAAGCGTCCACAATAGACAAAATCTTGAGGAATTAATGTTACGGAAATGGTTTAAAGCAGCGCTGCACTGACGTAGTTTCCGAAATTCAACGTCGCCAATACCCGTAATCTTACCAAGACCCCCTATGTGAACGACATTCCATTGTCGTAGACCCCATGGCGACAGGGGGTGTGGTTATCGGTGCTTCTGCCAATACCTTACCAATGCACGTCATGCGATATATCATTTTTCTCAGGCTGGTAAGGAGATTTCAGTGGCTTATTTCAGATTTAAATATGCCACACCCCCTGTGGGTGTGGCTATCGGTATCCAAGGGATAAATTTAAACCTGGTCATGTGACATATCAATTTTCTCAGCTCGCCAAGGGGATTTCAGCAATGTAGTTAAGATTTAGTAAACCACACCCCCTGTGGGTGTGGCCGTTAGTATGCGGTGAATCAGCTTAAACCTGGTCATGCGACATATCAATCTTCTTAGGACGTTAGCTAGAATTCGGTGGTATAGTTGAAATTTAAAAAGCCACACCCCCTGTTGGTGTGGTAATAAGTATTCGGTGATCTCTCTAAACCTGGTCATGTGACATATCAATTTTCTCAGCTCGCCGGGTGGAATATCACTGACGTAGTGAAAATTTAGTAAACCACACCCCCTGAAGGTGTGGCCGTTGGTATGCAGTGAAGCAACTTAAACCTGGTCGTGCAACATATCAAACTTCTTAGGACGTTAAGCAGATTTCATTGACGTAGTTTAAATTTAAAAAGACCCACCCCCTGTGGGTGTGGTTAAAAGTATCCTGTGAATCTACTTAAACCGGGGCATGTGGCATATCAATCTTCTTAGGACGTTAGCTAGATTTCAGTGGTATACTTAAAATTTAAAAAGCCACACCCCCTGCGGGTGTGGCTATCAGTATCCAGGGAATCTACTCCAACTGGGCCATGCGGCATATCAATTTTGTCAGCTCGCCAAGGTGACCACGACGAAATGATTAAAACATGTAAAACCACTCCCCCTGTAGAGATGTGGTTTTACGCGTGGCGTGTAAGTTTTCCAAGCTCGTTACGGGGATCAAAGTTATGTAATTCATAGTCACACCTCCAATTGGGCTGGATTGCTCGAGTTTTACAAAACCAACCGATGTGAAAAGCCATTTTTTTATATTTAATGCAGCATCTCCATCATTCTGCAGAATAATTAACATTAGCGAACCGCGTCCCTGGGTGTTGATGGCAACGACTTTTCGAGATTGACGAAACTATTTCGGATGACTCATAATAAAGCGTCATTTTTATAACTCCATGGTCATCACTTTCAAGAAAACTTAAAATGGAAACCACACCACCAGGGGTTGTGGTCATCGTCTCTGCACTTGGGTGGTTACCTTGGAGATGAATTCGCATTACCTGGTTTCCAAGATTTGCACGTGTTCAAACCACACCCATTGTGGGCGTGGTTTTTTTAACTTTGATCGAACTGAGGAGGTGAGAAAATTTGCAGATCACATGACATAGTTTCGCAAAATCCGCCGGAAGCTAACAACCACACCTACAGGGGGCGTGGTTTAGCATATATTAAGCCTCCGGTCCCGGTCGCCTTGGCGAGCTGAGACAACAGCCATGAGATGACCCATGACCAGGTTTAGGTAGATTCACCGAATACTTATAACCACACCCGCAGGGGGTGTGGCTTTTTAAATTTTAACTACGTCAATGAAATCCACTTTACGTCCTAAGAAGATTGATATGTCGCATGACTAGGTATAAGTTGATTCACTGCATAGCAACGCCCACACCCACAGGGGGTGTGGTTTACTAAATCTTAACTACATTGCTGAAATCCCCTTGGCGAGCTTAGAAAATTGACATGTCACATGACCAGGTTTAAATTTATCCCTTGGATACCGATAGCCACACCCACAGGGGGTGTGGCATATTAAAGTTTAAAATATGCCACTGAAATCTCCTTACCGGGCTGAGAAAAATGATATGTCGCATGGCGTTCATTGGTAGGGTATTGGCAGAAGCGCCGATAACCACACACCCTGTCGCCATGGGGTCTACGACAATGGAATGTTGTTCACATAGGGGGTCTTGGTAAGATTACGGGTATTGGCGACGTTGAAATTCGGAAACTACGGTGGGGGGAAATTTTTTACTACATTAAGTGTGTTGATTTGATATTTGACCACCCCCACAATGACTCCAAAGCAGGGGGTGCGGCCTACTAGTCGCTGAATATGATGACCTGCCTATTTCCGCCAAGAATTTTCCCCCAGGTCCGTCGAATCCAGTCGTAAAATTTTAAAATGCGATAAAGAAATGTTACTTGTTTTTTGACCTTGTGACCTTGATTTCGAGGGGGTGGGGCCGAATTTGAAAAATCTGAAAATCTATATTTCTCCCCAAGGTCCAAGGTTTCCAAAACGGTCCCATTTTGAAAATCCATTAAGAAATGACCGTGCAATTAATTTCGAAACTTTACATGTTATAGCTTATGGAGAGGTCGGCCATTTAGCCTTTTGGATTTATTAACATTGGCCGATGCTCAATACTTTTTAGATGCACCATAGTTTATTTTCGTATTACATAACGATTTACATAACATCGACGGACCATATCGTTCAGGAAACTTGCATACATGTAACATACGTAATAGATTCCTAGTGTAATTAAAAATCAATAACTCCATTAAAAATTAATTACATTTCTTTACATAATCATAAAGATTAGGGGTCCCAGTCCCGGGATTTTATTCCCGGGAATTCCCGGGAATTGAAAAATTGAAATCCCGGGATTTCGGGATTTTTCAATTTATCATTCAAGATTGAAAATGCCCTTCTATTTGACTTTTATTAGCGGTTTTACATAATTTGGGGTTATAGTAATGGTAAGAAAAAGTTTCGACGAGGATAACCTGTCCAAATTCATTCTAAACTGCAAGATTAAGCTTTAAACCTCATGCGAAGACACATTTTTTTATACGTCGTACATAAATATATTCAAATCTTCTAGTTCGCAAGTAAAAATTTAAATATAAAATGGAACTTAAAATTTTACTAATTTTGATGTCAGATTTAACCTTTAAGGAAGATAGAAACCTTACCCTGGGTATAATTATAGAATCTGAAATCAGTTGTACTCAAAAAAGCTAACATGTTAGAAGTTCATAATTTCGAATTTTAAACGATCAATTTAAGGCAGAATGAAAGGCAGAATGAAAGGCTTTCTGAACGAGGTTGTTCATATATGTGAACTTGAAATTTTTGAATTGCCAAATTTTGTGTACAATTGTTTTTGTATAATAGTTTCCAAAAAATAAAGGCGTAAATTTATTCATTTCAGGTTAAAATGCTGGCAAATTGTTGATTACTTATTTACCC